CAGTTAAACTTTTTTTTTTTTTTTTTTTTTTAAATCAACCATTTAGCAAAATAAATCAGAAACGTGGTACTCAATTACTAATATATTATATAAATATATATATATATATATATATATATATATATATATATATATATATATATACACACACACACACACACACACACATACAGTGTTGGGCATTAACGCATTAGTAACGCGTTACTGTAATTTAATTACTTTTTTAGTAACGGAGTAATTTAACGCGTTATAATTTTCAAAAAAGTAATTAAGAGTATAGTTACAAGCCGAGGTCTCTATACGTTACTGCCGCGTTACATTGCTGACAGAATGCCGTGTTTTATAATCTAGAGATTGTAAAAGGACGTAGCTATATATATATAGGCAAGATATCTGCATATATTTTCAAAGGTACTTTGTTTTGAAATACATCATGCAACGTCTGAAAGAAAGACAGGTCGTGGTACATAAAAGATGAAATTTGATTAGCAAACTGTTCCCATGGGAAGCTGATACGCCCACCTCGGTTTCCTGTCTCACGTGTTCGGACACACGGGTGTCACCTGTCTTCTGTGTCGACCTTTACTGCAAGGCCTACAACTTTATTAGCGCTCCGCCTGTAACACATGGATCTTCGATTTAAAACCTTGAAAAGGGAGTGGAGGCAGCATTTTTAACCCGTGTAACTGGTCTGGTATACTGAATACAACCGCATACATTAGTTAAATGTAATCACACATATTATATTTGTAGGTCATTTAAATGGTACGAGTTATTTTTAAATGGCAATCTACATTATTAACGAAATTTCATATATGGTTAATAATGGGCCACCCCCCACACATATGACAGTGGTATCGTCTGTATTCCGTGTTGAAATCCTCCAAGCTGAGCCGAAAGCAAATTCGAGTCGAGGACCTTTTGAGAGAAACAAAATTGCACATATTATTGTACATTTTACAACTGAAAATTTATATCTAACACTTGTACAGTTTTAGCAATGTCTACTCCATCAAGAAGGCGACTCATGCGGGATTTTAAAAGGTGAATCAAGAAAACTAAATATGAGGAGCTGTTGTTTACCAAACCCGGATGTAACTGTTACCTCACAAAGACCGGAGAATGAGAAGAAACATTTAGAAAGTTATTTGTTTTGTCTTTATTTAGACCTAAACTTCCTAAATCTAATCTGGCTCCCTTATTTGTTTTGATACAAACACAACAGACTTCAAGAGGATCCTCCAGCTGGAGTTAGCGGTGCTCCGTCAGAAAACAATATCATGGTATGGAATGCAGTGATATTTGGGTAAGTAGTAAGTACTTCTTGTGAACAGGGCTGTGCTGTGGACTAAACCAAGTTTAGCATCTTTACCAGGTTCGCGTTTCTTTATTCTGAAACCCGAGCATTTTGTCAACACTTCAGATGGCATAAAAAACCCGTCCTTTGGTACTTGTCTTAGTCTGCCTTTGTGTTTTCAAGCACTGAAACTAAAAACAAAAGATGACATGGTGGCATTATTGGTTATCCAAATGTGACCACTTTTCATTCTTGCTTTCACAGGCCAGAAGGAACTCCCTTTGAAGATGGTAAATATAAACATTACTTCTTGAAGTCCATAAGTCAAGTCAAGTCAAGTCAAGTCAAGTCTGCTTTATTGTCAACTCTTCCATATGTACAGCACATACACACAGAGAATTGAAATTGCGTTACTCTCAGACCCTTGGTGCATACAGATAACACTAACAATAGAACATAAATACAGATAGATACAGATTAAATATAAAAATACAACTATACAAATATACAAAACAGGTAAAAAAAAAATATTTAAATAAAGCAGCACAAGGCACATGGCAGATAGAGTGCAAACCAGTGAAGTAAACAACAGTGCAGATATAATGATTTTGTAGTGCAAAAGAGCTTATTCAGACTGATTAAAGTGACAGTGTGTGTGTGTGTATTTGGGAGGGGGGAGTGGGAGAGTCCATCAGAGGGTCAGAGTTCAGTGGTGCGTGGGGCAAAAGAGGGGAGGGGGGGCAAGGTCGGGAGGGAGTTCAGCTTCCTGACAGCCTGATGGATGAAGCTGTCCTTCAGTCTGCTGGTCCTGGCCTGGAGACTCCGCAGTCTCCTCCCTGATGGCAGCAGACTGAAGAAGCTGTGTGTCGGGTGGGTGGGATCACCTGCAATGCAGAGGGCTTTGCGGGTGAGACGGGTGTTGTAAATGTCCTGGAGGGAGGGGAGAGAGGCACCAACGATCTTCTCAGCTGCTCTCACTATGCGTTGAAGTGTCTTGCGGCAGGACGCGTTTGTGGCCCAATACCACACAGTGATGCAGCTCGTCAGAATGCTCTCGATGGTGCACATGATGGGGGCCGGGGCTCTGGCTCTTCTCAGTTTGCGGAGGAAGTAGAGACGCTGCTGTGCTTTCTTGGCCAGTGCTGTGGTGTTGTCAGTCCAGGAGAGATCCTCTGTGATGTGCACACCCAGGAACTTGGTGCTGCTCACCCTCTCCACAGTGTGAGAGGGTGAGCAGTAATTCTAAGTTCTAGTAATTCAAGACATGTATTTTGAATTCATGCTTTAAGCCTGTTTCTGTTATAGGTACATTCAAATTGACTGTAGAATTCACAGAAGAATACCCAAACAAACCACCCACAGTCAGATTCATCTCAAAAATGTTTCATCCTAATGGTAAGATTTAGTTTTTTGTTTGTCATCATTTGTCATTCAGAATCATTAATATGACAGTTTAAAATATGTCGTCTTGACATGACGTAAGGGAATGGCTCACCCCAAAATGAATATTTGCTGAAAATGTACTCATCCTCAGGAGATAGCCAGTTCTTAGATGAGTTTGTTTCTTCATGGGAACAGATTTGGAGAAATTTAGCATTACATCACTTACTTAACCAATGGATCCTCTTCTGTGAATGGGTGCCATCAGAATGAGAGTCCAAACAACTAATAAAAATCCCACAATAATCCACAAGTAATGCACACAACTTCAGTCCATAAATTAATGTCTTTAGCAGTGAAAAGCTGTGTTTGTAAGAAACAAATCCATCATAAACCGGGCTTAAGTTCTCCGGCACCCTGCCGAATCTCCAGCATGTGGCGTTTAGCTGCGGGAAAATAAGATGGTCCTCCTACATTTAAAAACACTTGTTGATATCACGTTCGAGTTAATTAGTTTGCCTACCAATGTATGAGTGTTCCACAGCTTTCACTCTCAACCAAACTTAACATTACTAGCCAATCAGACATTTTTGGTCCTATAAACATGACACACACATAATAGTATCCAACTGCAAAGTCGCAGCTGATGAGCGCGACACATTCTGAAAAAGCTGCGAGGCCCAAATCTGTTCCTATTAAGAAACACAATTAATTTAACAAAAGTATATTAAGCAAATTTTCATTTTTGGGTGAACTATTCCCTTAACCCCTTTCTCTTGCAATGATACTTCAGTATATGCAGATGGAAGCATATGTCTTGACATCCTACAAAACCGGTGGAGTCCAACTTATGACGTGTCATCAATTCTCACCTCAATCCAGGTAAAATATTGCTTTTTACTATTATAAATGTAAATCAGAACACCGCTTGATCAGCTTGTTTTCCTGTTTGTTTTCCCCCAGTCTTTGCTTGATGAACCAAACCCTAACAGTCCAGCTAACAGCCAAGCAGCTCAACTTTACCAGGAAAACAAACGGGAGTATGAGAAGCGTGTGTCCGCTATTGTTGAGCAGAGCTGGAGGGACAGCTGACCTTACACTGCAGAGCACAGAACTTTGTGTGATTATAGTTTAGTCCCCCCCCCCCCCCCCAATACCGTTCTAATGCACTTTAATCTAAATCCGTCCCTTTTTCCTTTGGAGAACTTGTGCTCAGCCAATATCACCTGGTTATTTTCTGTTCAAAAAGTGACATACATGGTGTCAGCCCAGAAACCTGGACTATATGATATATCCAAGGGCTTTTTTTTTTTTTCTCAAGAAGAACCAAACTGAATGGACACTGTGCTGACCTGCCATCCTTGAACTGTCCATGCCCCAATCGGAACTGATGATCCTGTTATGCTTTTTTTGTGTGTGCTGTTACATGCCTGAAAGTGTTTTTTTTTTCCTATTCCATGTGTTATTGATTGCCTCGTGTTCTATATTATAATACACTTTAAATTTCATGTACAGGATCTGTGTATGATTAGTCTATTGACTTTTTGTTTGTTTTAATATGGTCAGAAAAAAACAGTTTATCAAGAATGTTAGTTGTAACCATAGAAGAAAAAAAACATTTGTTAAAGCTACAGTCGCAACTTTTTTTTGGTTAAAAATTATCCAAAATCTATTTTTGAGCAAGTACATAACCAGCCAGTGTTCAAAACTAGCCCGTTTCACAACGGTAAGCTTGTAACAGTGTGTTCTACTTGGGTGGTACTGGTAGGTTTCTGCAGGAAATACAAGCTTGCGCCTTCGTCTTTGCATCATTACGTCACGTCTGTATACATAAAGAAGGAGTCCCGTCTAGGCTTTATCGCATGTGAGGGTGCTGCAGGTGGCAGGTCATTTATAGTCTTTTTCTCACAGCAGCTGGAATAATTGAATTTATAATTTTGATGGCGAATTGTAATCCAGAAAGGTCCAAACGATTTCTTTATATGAAATTAGAATGGTATGACAATTAGAGATTAGACTGTACAGAAATTGAAATCTACAGGTAGCTAATACACACTAAATGCACATAGTCATGCAATGCTGATGTTAACATTAACAATTTGAGAACAAAGCATAACAATAATAATAATTTGCACAGTTTGATGTGATTTGAGCTAACTTTACGATCGTTAGACTTAATCACCATTGGTAATGCGATTTATTGTAATGCTTGTTTTTTTTCTCAGTTGGTCAAAACAAAAGTGGCAGACGTGTTACTTGTTCAGATAACATTTTCTGGTGAAAATTCTTATTTGGGTCATACTTCCATCTGTAATTCTGATGTACAGTATCCACACCGGTGCGGTGACTGACAGCCACACATATACCTCAAACATTAGTTTCATCAGTGCTGAAGAGCCGTGCCGATGCACAACCCACGTAAAGATGATAATTCCGCAAATAACTGCAATTGCAGGTTTCAAACAGAGATGGTGACAAAGAGGTAAAACTTACAGACTGCAGCTTTAAATGTCTAAAGAGCAGTACATTTTTCAAACACATTTATTTTAAGATTTTTATAAGATACATTCATACACTAGCCACATGCTACATGAGATTGACAATGAAAGCTCATTCACATAATACAATATACCACACAAGACTAAAGGTTCATTTATGTTTCATATGAAATATCCATTTAAATGAAATGCTCTTTAAACAAAACAATAATAAAAAAATTTGTTACATTTGTAATAAAACCCAACACATGAGAAATGGAACCATTCAAGTGGACATTCACCATTATCACAACCAAGCATTTCCCCAAATGACACCTGCTCACACAGGCAGTAAGTAGTCTCATTCGGATCAATAGGTAGATCTGTAGGTGAAGGCTCTCTGTCAGCTTTGGCTTTGGACCTCTTCTTTATCTTTGAGGTTTTATTCCTCTTCTCCCTGACAATACCGCCGGTTCCTTCATCATGGTGAACTGTAGAGACATTCTCCCGAGTGTCAATATGATTGTTTTTCTGACATCTGGAGTGCTTGTTGGCTCCAGAAAGCCTTTCTGTGGAACCAAGGGATTCCTCTCTTCTTTTCTCCGCTTCCCTTTTCTTGCTTGGAATAACAGAAGATATGGTAGTAGCTGTCATGCTTTCTTGGGGTTCATGTCGGGTTTCTAGAAGCTCAGCAAGACTGTCCACTTGCCGGCTACGATTCTCCAACATCTCCACCATCTGACTAGCAAGTTGGATCTTCTCATCACCCAGCTCCTGACTTCGGATAAGGACTCTTTGGATACAATGCAGCAAGCACATTTGCTGAATGGGGTCCTCTTCCTGGCAGTGTTTCTCATAGGCCTCATCTGATTCTTTGAGCAGTTCTGAAATTAGACACACAAAAAATTATTGTGAATATCATTTAATATTCTGACTTCACAGGCAAAAAAAAAGGTCCACTGCCTATTGCCAAAAAAGTAGATATGTATTAAGCACAGCTCATACATAAGTTACTTTCAATTCAAGCAAGTTTTCTGTTGGTCAAAGCCATGAATTAGATTAGATTCCAACTGAAATTACTGGATTTCATCAGCAAAAATGTATTTGTCAAATTTAAGAGGTTTCTATCCCTCCAAAACTTAGAAGATTCAAAAACATTATAAAAAACATCGTAATGGAATCGATGTGAATAAAAGCATAAATTAAATCTGTTCATCATATAAAGCAATCATATACAGTATATCTTCAAAAGATTTGGATTGTGGTAGGTTATTAAGTCAATTCAAGAATAAACCAGTGAGGACCAATGATATTTTACAGGAACAGCTCTGATGAACAGTCAAGTGTATAGGAAACCATTTAAATTGATATATGATCGGGATTAGGGTCTACAGTAGAATATAATGTGTATGGATGGGAACACTATACCTAATCTGGAGCATGAGGAGCAAAGTGCGAGTGCTAGAAGATCTGAACACGCAGATCTTTAGATTGGGACGTAGTATAGCCTTTAATTTATATCACATCCAAAGCCGCTGAAAAAGATCACATCCATACAGATGTTAGGAGCCAGACAATCACCCGTGTAAGAAGTACAGTTCGCTGCTCAGTACGGTAGGTGCCGACAGTGCTCCTAAAGAGTAGGTCGCCATCAAACAAGTAGAAATAGAAGAAGAACAACTCACTGCAAATTGCAAAACAGCTGAGAGAGATCTGTCAATGTAACAGTTTACCAGTAGTGGAGTGACGAGCTGAACATTCAATGTGATGGCACTGAAAGGAAACGTGCAGGCCCATCGAGGACATTAGCCTATGAACAATAACCTACACACGTCATCAATCAATTACTCGTTACAATCTCAGTAACACAAGTTACAACAGCATTACTAACACCGCAAAACAGCACCAGAGAAAACATTCAGCGGGTTAAATAGTTAGTCTATCTTCTGTTGCTGGAATTAGATGGTTAAGTTGACTGCAGAGACGGATTCTACATTTGTGAGATGGACACACTCCTGTTATTTTCAGTTCATCGGAGAAAAGGATAAGAATGCTTAGCAATATGTGCGACACCAAACTCTCAACATGGAGAAATAGCAGGAGTAAAACCTGGAAACACTGGACTGTGTCACTAACACTAAGCTATCGGAGAGAGCTGAGAAGGTTGAGAGAAGAGAAAAAAGGCGGCGGACGAGCGCAGACAAGCAACAAAAATTTAAAAAAGTTTAACTAAAAATAACAAAATCTGTTTTTGTTAAATCATAGTCTATATGACTATGCCGTTCCGCGCCGTGAGGCTATTAGTTTAGGCTACTCCTCATTGAGAATGTTTTTTTTTAAAGTTTTTTTTAAACAGGTCTATTCATTTATACAATTGAATTATTGGCCTATAATTAAAATTATTAACACTGCAGTCATCGATGAAAATTAAGAGCAGCTTTATTTCGTGCACAGATTTTCAAAAACTACCTGTTTAACGCAAAATACGTTTCTTCTCATGTTTTTCACTATACGGGCCACAAGAGAAATATTAAAGGAATAATTGAAGACAGATATATATACCATCATCAGCCTATATGGAAATAATTTTGTCTCTTGTTGTCTCAGAGAATATGCGCCGTTAATGCAGCGTTAGTTTTTTTACTTTCACTTTCTCTCTAGTGAATTGACTGACGTTCACCGGCATAACTCTTGCGCACAGTTGCTTGTGTTGCTTGACCCCTCCCCCATAATATCAATCGTTTATAGGCCACATATTAGGCATTTTTTTTATGTTTATTTTTTTTTATGTTAATGAAAGTGACACCAAAAATAAGGGAACATCATTAGGAAAAATTGCGGGCTAAGCAAGTTTCTGATGGGCCCCGTCAAGCCCCGCCCTAGCGCCGCCACTGATTAGCCTAATTCGTTTTGGCTTGTTTAGAAAATAGCAACTTATATTTTTCATTCTTGTTTTCTTCTGAAACCGTTCAAATTTGCCTATAGGCTAGGTATTGTGTTTATTGTTTGTACATTATAACATTTCGCTTTATTTACCGGTGTTATTTATGAATGTAATAATGTGGTTTCTGCTTATCTGTGTTTAACCTAAACTACAACGTAACATTAATGTAGACCTACATACCGGCATCTAAATATGATTTTATAATTGTATGCTATATAGACCTACCACATTACCCTCCACTGGATGTAGAATGAGCAGCAATAAACTACATTTTGGCATTTTATAATACTTCTGTGGATATTTTGGTGAAAGTAACTCAAAAGTAGTGTAATGCATTACAATTCAGAGACAGCAATATTGTAATGTAACTAATTACTTTCAAAAGACTGTAACTAGTGATATATAATGTATTACATTTTGGAAGTAACTTGCCCAACACTGATCGTCAAGGTTATGCGTCATCTTTTTTACTATTATAACCACCAAATTTAGTAAGATGAAAATGAGGCTTCCTTTAGCTTTGATTACAAATGTAAGACTGCTTAATTCTGGCTTTAGAATCGGGCATTGGATTCATAATGGTGTTACAAAAACATCATTGCTGCCCAATTGTAATATATGCAGCAGGCGGAGAGAAAGTGGATAAAACCAGTGGGGTTTGACACCGGTGTGAAGACTTACAACAGTCTGACCAAGCAGAAAGAACCTCTGGT